AAGCACTTGAGCCAATTCCCCTCCATGTAAATGCATATAATTTCGATTTAAAAACTAAATAGGTTCCTGAAAGCTGTAACCGATCCGCTGAACCACATATAACGTCCATATAGATGCAGCCAACTCGGGCTTCAGTCGTACAACAAAAAATTAGCCCCAACGGGTGGGCCAGTTCGCGGAGTTCCATGCATTAGATCCCACGTCATAGCTTCAGACCGCACAGGCCTACGTGTTAGTCCGCGTAGTCTCCCCGACGTTGGGCCGGGGTCACGTCAGTTCTCAGGTAGGCATTTTATGGGTTATGGGGGATGGGACTGATTCGAGAGAGAGGTCATCTCCGTTGTGCATATATGGGCACTAAAGTGGCCTGCTGGGGGCGCTCTGGACCCACATCACGTGTTCAAAATGTCAGCGGGTCGTCCTTACTGTTGCTTTCCGGCGAATTGTTTTGGTAACAGCCGCCCTCTGTTGGCAGTGAATACCAGTGGGGGGAGCCTGGATGCCGTCAACATGTGCCTTACTGACCCAGTACCTTTAGTCAACTGTTTTCGGTTGATTTCGCAGATTGTAATTTCATACAATTACGACAGATCCTTACGTCTGCCGTGACTTTGCGGAGGCGTTCTGATTGCTTGTGAGACTTTCAAGGGTGCTTAAGGTGGTTGTGCTATCCTTGACGGCAAGAATATGTACGATCATCATAAGATTGTGTTTTCGACAGTCGCATGTCCGACGACCTGGCCACCCCCCTCTCCCTCCGTATTTTAAAGATGCCGAGTGCACAATTCGATTCCGGTACCTGGGTGTCCAGCCCTTCTTCCTGGTATTTTATCCTTATAATTCTAAAAACGGAAAAAAATAAATGCGTTCGATCTTTCCTGTTTGTTCCTAGTGGATTGTCTCGGTGATCAAAACTACCGGCTTGCATATAGTCATATCGATATTAAGGGCGCTACCATGGTTTTGACCACAGATTTGTCTTCGCGTTTGCAGTCACTGCATCCTCATGAATTGTTATGTTATTCAAGACGGTCTTTCATAGGTAAACAGATTTTGAGCTTCTTAATTCTCTTGGAAGTTAATGTGCGAACTTGGGGGAAAGTCCTGGGCATCAAACTTTTCAATTTCCGTCTGAAAGCTGGTCTATGCCAATTGGAGTCCATCAGCTCCGGCGGAGCAGCTGCATAATAGCCACCAGCTGCCAGCAGAGAGAACGTGGCATATAATTTTGATTGATTCCCGTCGGTGCGTTTAGGGCCCCGTCAGCAGCAGCACAGGGGTGAGCGCCCATCCAACAATGTTAACATTCCTAATCTAAACCGAGAAGACAACGTTTAGAACGTTAACTTCTAAGCAACAGGTCACGGGTTCGAACAACGCCTGAAATTGGGTATGGTTGGTTGATGACGACTAATAATTTTTAGAGGGGTTTAGCAAACTTGTTTATTTCAGTTGACCCAATTGTGGAAAATTCGCGGCCTCGGTGGAGGCCGGACCCACACAGCAGGGAAGGCTTTTTTCGCAGCCAACGCTCTACCATTGAGCAACGACTAATAAGCCCAAAATGGCCATTTCAGTCACCCTTGTCTTTGTCAGTAATGTTTTTCTGCCTAAAACGCCATTTATCCATATTCTTTTCCTCTCTCTATCTCTCATTCCTGCGGGTAGCCATCATGGAGAGCATCTTGTACCCCGTAACGGCCGAGGATGTCATCGCGCTGGTTAACCTCTGGCGCCAGATTGCCATGCAGAGACAGTTCGAGCGTGAGGAACGCCTGAAGCGCGAACAGGTGCCTGGTGCACGACCCAGCGGCCCCAAAGAACACACCATCTAACCGTTTTTTTTTCTATGCATCATCCCCTCTGGCTGGCTTTGGGTGAACCTCCAATAACATTGGGTTGGGGACATGTTATGACTGTCCTACTTTTGTCTGAATGTGTGTATGTGTCTCCTGTAAATATATATATCGTTTGTTACTCTGAGGACAGTAGTGTCTGCAGACCTAATCTACCCCCTCTCTACGTTTGTTACTTACTTACTTCTTTACTTATTTTTCTAACAACTGTCAATTTGCATACCGCCCGTTTTGAAAAAGAGCAACCCGTCGTCGTTGGTAGTTTACTTAGACAGGTTTACAAATTCGGCTTTAATAGAGAGGGTTTTGACCGATTTGAATAATTTGCAAAAATTCCCATCAGAGAATTCAGAAGAGTATTTGGCGAGCTTGTTAAGGCGCCGGACATGGCTGATTAAGCCATTATTTTAACAGAACTTAATTAATTGAATACTATACAATTCCGTGCAGAGGGCTAAGAACCCCGGAAGTGCACCGTCTTAGGAGAGGGCGAGCCCCGGGTTTCAAATCTAGCAAGGGAGCGGACTGTACGCAGGTTTACTTGAACTTCATCACGGCTCAGTCGGGTGCGGAGTGTTTAGGTAGGTGAGAGAACCCCGCCGGCCTGAACACTCTATTTCGTTGTTTCATAGGACTTTTTTCGCTACAGTATACTGAGTCAGCGTTGTTTTGCTCGTCTCGTCAACTGCTGACTTCCTGCAATGCTTTGCGCCCTAGGGGATAACAATCCGGGAGGACAGAGGTTCACGTTGTTGACGTAGACCACGCCCAAACACGGCGTGATGACTCTTCCGTCCCGCGGAGTGGTGAATCTTCCCATAGCGACTGAGAGGACCAAGCTCAGATTATTGAAGATTGACACGGGCGTGGCTAGTGAGAGCAGAGGAGTACGACAATTGCTGTTTCACAGCAGAG